GGCAAAGGAGAAATCTCATCTAATAAATAAAAGTTTTTTTTACCACATGTCATCTTCTTCTTCATTTGGACATATAACATTTTCTAAAATTTTTAAATTTTCTATTTTCCACTTGTCATTTTATTGTATTTTTCATTTTATTAAACTAAAATTCCACATTTAATATGTAACGTAATATATATATATATATATATATATATATATATATATATATATATATATATATATATATATATATATATATATATGTAATGTATTTATTAGAAATGATTTATATATGTAATGTATCCAATACATTAAAGCCTCATTAATTTTAATAATTCAAAAAAATTCTCATTTTCCTTATAAATTCAAACTTTTCAAATTGTTAAAATTTTATATTTAATTTTTTTTTAAATAAAACCATGTAATACATGGATCTGACAAGTTTATATTATTTTCCGTTTAAAAAAAATAAATTAGTTTGATACAAAAAAAAAAAAATCTAACTATCTAACTAATAAATTAATCCGGTGACCAAATGACCGGACAAGGTATCTATATGGCCTTGCGGGCAAAAGTTGTACTTAATTTTCTTCTCTCTTAGTTTTTAGAACAAAAAAAATGTTTTTCATCATAAATCAAAAGACATGCTTTGATTAAAATTATTTAGTATCTATATTTAGAAGTGGAAGCAATTTTAGACTTTTAGTGGGCAATGGGTCATTATGTAGCCAGGACCGGCCCAGATGACATGTAGGTTTGCAACGGCAAAGGGCCCACCAGCCCAAAATTATAATTGGGCCTAGTTAACATAAAACTTATTTAGCCGCGTTTAACTTCGATACACCAGGTTCGAATCTATTTTGCCTCTTAACTTTTTAGCATTGGATGCATTTTATTCCAAATCCTTTTTTCTTTTTTTTTTTTCTTTTTTTTTGTTAAAGAGCTACATATAAATCACGACTCAGATTTACATCTTAGACCACTCATTTATGTTCTCTTTTTCACAATTTTCCCCATCTTCTACTTTGTTTAATAAATCAATTTCAAAAATTATATATATATATATATATATATATATATATATATATATATATATATATATATATATATATATATATATATATAAGAGAGAGCTAGGTTTAAATGTGGATTGAATCTATTGTATTGACGCGTGGATAATATTGTTCTGTGAAAATTACAAAGAAAATATGTTTGATAATATGAATGCGTTCAATTTTATATAATTATTTTAATTATTAAGCATTTTCACTAATTAAATCGTTTATAAGGTTATTATACACTTTTTTAATTATTCTCATTCCGTCAGAATGTTATCAGGATGTTTATTGAGTCATATTCTGTAATAATTAAAATAAATAAAAAACGGTGAATGAGAACAAAAATAAATTAAAATTGGTGAGAATTCATTAAAATAGCAATAATTCTGTGAGATTGAACGTATTCACATTACTAAACAACATATTCTCTTAGTAATTTTCATAAAATAGCATTATTCACACGTCCACACAATAATATATATATATATATATATATATATATATATATATATATATATATATATATATATATATATATATTGCCCTTAACTTTTAAAATTTTTATTTCTTTTTTTAATTAATTTAGTTACCTTTTTAGTTTTCCTACGATACAGTTTACGAATTATTTTGCTTAGAGAGGAGGGAGTTATTCCCTCCCAATCCATTGAACTCACTAACACATCAGTTTTTCTCTTTCATTTTTCTTCATCTTTCTCAACCCAACACACGGAAACCCTATCTTTTTCAACCCACTCAACCCATTCAATTAAAAAATATACAAAAGAATAAGGTAAAATCTTAATTAACAATAGAGTTACCGCCAATATGACTCTCTCTTCAACGGGTTGTTTAATTGGTTTCACTAACCCACTTCATCCCCTCCCTCTCTCATTTTCTCTTGTACCATGTGTTTTATAACTTGTACCTTAGTTTTTTTATATTTTTTTTAATTGAGTAGGTTGAAAAAGATAGGATTTTCATGTGTTGTTGGTTGGGAATGATGAAAAAAATAAAGAGGCAAATATTGATGTGATAGTGGATTCAGTGGGTTGGAAGGAAATGACTTCATCCTCCCTTATATATATATATATATATATATATATATATATAAATGTATCTAAGGAGGCCAATTCTATTATTCGTATAGGAACTTCAAAATCAACCAATCGGCCCTATCTAGGGATGAAAGTGGGTCCAAACCCGGACCGGATGGACCCGGACCCGGACCCGGAAAACTCGGAACCGGTTAATGGGATTTTGTAGAACCGGAACCCGGACCGGTATATAGGAACCAGTTCCAGGTGGTCTAGAACCAGAAAACCCGGAAACATCAAAGTGGGTAGGTTGGAACCGGATAAAGTGGGTTTAGAACCGAAAAACCCGAAAAAACCGGAATTTTTTGGTAATTACTTAGTACTTAGTGGGTTGAACTTTGAAGATTTTCATATTGATATCCCGACTTTGGGTGACTGTAACTCATTGAATATGAAACCAAAATTATATTCTAAAATCATGTATAAACTCTAAAATACACTCTGGAAATAACCGCATGTCAATCCGACTTTAAACGAATGATATTTTCATGTGTTAACATTTTCACATAATACAAAGTACAAAAACAAATAGCTGAAAAGTTGAAAATTTTCAGTTTTGATATCCCGACTTCGGAGGGCTGTAAATCATTGAATGTTAAACCAAAAATGACAAAATTATATTCTAAACTCATGTACAAACTGTAAACTCCAAGTTGGAAAAAAAACCACATGTCAATCCGACTTCAAACGAATTAGATATGCATGTTTTAAAACTTTCACCGAATACAAAAAAACTGAAAAACTAAAACTTCCAGCTTTGATATCTCGACTTTGGAGGACTGTAAGTCAATGAATATAATATTAAAAATGGCAAATTTATATCTCTAAAATCATATACAAACTCTAAATTACATGTTGGAAAAAATCGCATGTCAATCGGAGTTGAAACAGATGAGATCTGTATCTTTTAAACGTTTCACAAAAACCGGTTCCGGCCCTAAAAGTGGTTCCGGTTGTAAACATCGGTTCCGGTTTTTAGACCCGGTTTACCCGAACCCGATGGACCCAAACTCGGATTACTCAGAACCCGGATAAAGCCAATTTTTAAACCCGGAACCGGAACCGGTTCTATATATTTCGGTTCTAACGATTCCGATTCCGGTCCGGTTTTCCAGTTCTAAATCTCATCCCTAACCCTATCTATTGGGTTGGTGTGTATGTTATTTTTACAAAATATACAAAAGTGAGATATCTTAATTATCTCCTTCGTCCTACAAATCTATTTAATAGCTAAATTTTATTAATTAGCAATTTGCTAGAACAACACTTACATTGCATTTAAATCCAACGGTAGATATTTTTTTTTTTTTTTTTTTGGAAAAGATGAAATTTTATAAAAGAACAAGGGGCCATAGCCTTACATGAAAAAGACACAGCAAGCAACAAACAAACAAAAATCCAACACCAACAGGGAGATACAAGCCCCTAAAAACAAAACGGAATTACATGATACTAAACGGAGAACAACACCAATTTGCACAATTGCAATTACCAAAATTACCCTTGTGCTTAACCCACCCAAAAACAATAGCCATGATATCTTCCGCAAACTTTGGTGGGAGAGGTAAGGATACCATTAAAGACTTTATCATTCCTACGCTTCCAAATACTAACCAAGAATTCTGGTTGAGTTTACATTTAGAATAATGATGGGAACGCAATCTTGTCATAAATCAGGTCCTTCATTTTCTTATGGGTGTTGAAAACTACTGATTTTCTAAAGTTCAGTAAACACCCATAACACAATTAGCATGAGCACTTCCAAACATGATCTTTTTATTGCCGATAATTTCACTAAATCCACTAAAAAAAATCATTCTCTAATGGAAGATTGAATTTTCGCCACCAACTAACACTGAACCCACAGATGACCAATAGGATCTACATAATGATGAAAATAAGGCACATAATTAAGGGGGTGTTTAGATAAATTGGTGTTTAGCTTATTAGCTTATTACTTACTGGTTTATAACCTGTGGAAACTATGATTATAAAATTAATTGAAATTTTATAGTAAAACCTCAAAATTAATAATTAATTATTTTAAATAAATTATTAAGTACGATATATTTTTTATTAGTTTTGTGAAATTATAATCGTTGATTCAAATAAATATATATAATTAATTTTTAATATATATTAGATATTTTTTTATTTGTGAATTAATGAAAACAATAATATAAAATTTAAAATTTAAAATGAAGAATAAATAGATTGACAAATAACATCACATTAATTAGGATGTCTAATAAATTTAAAATTGAGAACTAATAGAATGACAAGTGGCATCATATTAATTAAGAGGTCTAATATAGTGATACATGTCAAAATGACTACTCTTTTATTAGTATAAGGATTAGCTTATTGTGGTGGGAATAAGCAGTTTTTTAAAAAGTGTTTGGATTAACTTATTGCGGTGAGAATAAGCAATAAGCAATAAACATTTTAAGTGTTTGGAAAACAAAACAGCTTATATAAGTAAAATCACAAAAAAAAAAAATGCTTCCTTTTATATGTTAACATATTTTCCTTATTAAAACAAAACATTTTTGTTTTTTAAATAATAATAATAATTTTCTTATCCATAAGAACTAAAAAAACATTTACCACATTATTTTTACATCTATTTTTAAATTGATCTGATACATCTATCGAAATATTCAAGAAACATGAGACCATAATTTTCGTATCCATAAGAACTAAAAAAAACATTTATCATGCAAACCTATATGAGACCACAAATTTCATTCCAAATCCATATTATCCGTAACGTACAGTTACAACCCATTCCATATTATCCAAAATAGTTTCATGCTACTATATTAAACCATAAAATGAAAATACCAAAGAGTTTCAAAAAAAATCATACGTCATTACGTGCACGAGTGTTTGACATTGAGAAAATTTGTCCTGTAATTGTATCGCGTACTGCACTCATATACATATCATCATTTCTATGTTGTCCACTCGATACTTCGTCATGTGGCTCAATATCATCATCGTATCCTTCATCATTGCGGGGATTACAAGATTCTTCTTGCGCTATCTAAAATGTTGCATCACCACTACCGCTCATTCTAATGTAATTGTGAATCGCCATTGAAGCTTGCACAATTTTCACTTGGGTCTCACAGTTGAAATTTACATGCATATCTCTTAGTAACACCCATCGAGCCTTCCGGACTCCAAAAGTTCGTTCAATTACATTGCGAAGTGACGAATGATAATAGTTAAATTTTTCTTTGAAGCCTTTTGGTTCCCGCAAGGCACGAGTTTGTGCACGTCGAAAATCAGGAATGTGATAACGGATGGGAGTTAACTTATTTCCCTTTCTTGAGGGTTGAATTCTCCTTGTTAACAAAACATCAAAAACAGTGTCCAGTTTCTCTTCATATGACGAGTTTGCCATACTTTTCCTTCACTTTTTCCTTCATTTTTTCCTTCAAAGTTCCTTTTGTTGTCACGCTTGGGAGTTAACTTCTTTCCCCTCCTTTTCTTACTAGAACTATCATATGTGAGAAAAGAATCAACATCATCAAAAAACCGGACTTCGTCAGTATCCTCTTTTCCATCCGTAATATCCACAAACTGTACATCATCCGGAGTGCTACCGTCGCCAAATTCGCAAGGTACCTTAGCCTTGTCTCCAACAGCTGCGGTATCCCGAATAAAGCCTCGTAATATATCTGGTTCCGGGCTTGCTGGCCTATAATCCAGATTGATCTATTCAGATTGAGGAAACACCGAGTTCAGGTCTTCTTTCTATGCCCCAACTGGAGAAACTCTGAGATTTCTCACTATTCGTATGAAAATGGGGAAACAGTCTTTCTCACTCGATAGTTTCAACTCGAGAAAAAAGAATCCAGTAAAAATTTTATTTTACTTACATAAAACCATTCATATATCGTATATGTTCATATATCGTATATGCGGGCTTCTAGATAACATATATTTTATATGGATTCATTTGTTTCTTTTTTCTGATATACATCTAAATTCTTATCCTTAAACTTAGCATACTCTTTATCTTCCTATATGTACAAAATGAGAATGTCACAAAAACACAATACAAATAATAAGTTAGATAAAATTTATAATTATTACCTTTATTTTCTCATCCCACCATTCCTTTGACGCTGAGATTATATTTCTCACGGGATCAGTTGAAATTCCCGTTTCTAGTCTTGTTAAACGGTTATAATATTTGAACTCTTTCCGCATAATGTCTCATTTGTTTTTCATTTGATTTATGTCCAAATCTTTATCACTTCGTTCCAAAAGCCTCTTACATATATTTTTGGCATGCAGACTTATTGAGATAAGTATGCGGTCTATTCCCGTTAGCTCTGTCATACATTCCTCAAGAAATATCTTGAATGTATGAGGATCCCAATGAAATCTATTTGTAACTTTCACTTTGGATGTATCAATATCCACATCATGAACATTGACACCGCCCATTACCTATATTAAATCATGATATTGAATGAAGAAAATTTTGAATTTTCACCCTAATGTTGAATCAGAAGAAAAAAAACAGGTAGCATGAATAGAAAAACAAAATACATACAAGTAGAAGCAAAAAACAGGTAACATCAATAGCAATCAAAAGATACTTCTAAATATTCTGTAGCAACAAAAGTTAAAAGCAAAATACAAGTATCATCAATAGAAATCAAAAGAAACTTATGAATTTTCTGTAACAAGAACCATCAAGGATGAAAAAAAAAGAAGCAATCGTCCATGTATATCCATTGTTCATCGATTATGTATGACGAAACAGATAGCCTCAATAGCTCGTCGATTGTGCATGAGGAAAAAAACATATATGTTGATCGAGAAGGGTTCCAAATCGATTGCTTCTAGATAAAAAAAAACAGAACAAATCCTCCAGTCGATTGATACAAGACGAAAAAAAGGGAAGAAGACGCAAACCTTACATGATTGTCGATTTGGTGATCGTTGATGGCACACAAGGAGCAGGAATAGCGAACGGAAAAAGTGTTGTGAAGGATTTGGTGATCGAAAAAGAGTTTATGGGTTACGTATTGTTTTTTTAGGGTAATTTGGTAAATTTTCAAATCATTAAAAATAAGCAATAAGCATCCCCCCCCCCCCCCCCCTCATTGCTTATTAAAATCGGTTTATTTAGCTTATTCCTACCGCAATAAGCTGATTTTTAGGGGTTCTTATCCAAACACTTAAACTTTTCTTATTTCAGTAGGAATAAGCAATAAGCAATAAGCAACATATTTTTTGTCTATCCAAACACCCCCTAAATCCAAATCAGTAGCCTTATTTGTTACATTTTTTTAGGTAGGCATCCTATCTAAGTACGATCTCGAAGAAAAGATATCAACCATTTTGGACAGTTTTATAATATCATCTAATCTCTTTATTGCTCACCTCTAAAATGATATCATCAATATTTGTTCACGTAGAACTCACTTTCAGGATTCCAAGACCATTTATCTTCTTCTGAATAAAAAGTCACTTGGTGCATTAAAAAAGTAAGAGTCGTAATTTTTCTTCGGCTTTCCCTTTAATGGTCAACACCAAGTCCAAGACCAATTCTCTTTTAAAAACTGATCCATGGCCATGTAGCTTCGGTTAGTTTCTAATTGATAATGTCTGAGATATCTAAATTGAGGGGTATTCATGTGGATAGCAATCATATCGGGTTCGGTTGACGAGCCTCCGATTGGCACGTTGGCGGGTCAAATTGCATCAACTCATACACGACTCATATAATTATCCGTGTCGAGGGTTGGCGGGTCGGAAACATCAAATCGGACACTACCCGTCTAACCTATTTAATTATACGGGTTCACGGGTTATATTCGGGTTCACATGTTGGTGGATTGATCATGAACCCAAATATTATATATGTAATAGTAATGATTGGTTTGATATTATGGCACACACTATGCATAGGCAGATAGGCATAGTCGCGATCCAATATATTATATCAAGGTTCTAAACAACGTTAGGCATGACTTTAGCAGCAATGTCAAGTATCAACCTTTTACAAGCCATGGTGAAACACCCCAACTTTCGTATTTCTGAAAGACCCAAACTTTCATACTTCACAATATTATTACTCCAAAACATGCTACTTGCATATTCATAAAAGCAATATTTTACATTGATAAAGAGGTTACAATCTATTCGATACAAACCGACTATTACAAAGTGTTATATATTACATAACTACCCAGTATACTGTAATTTATACAAACATAAACTGAAGTACAAAAGTATTATTATTACAAACTATTCTAATTCTTTCAACAATATATGATTATACTGGTTACTTATCACCTGCAATTGTTAAACATTGATAGGGTAAGCGGTGACGCTTAGTGAGTTCAATAATATATACAATATAACGTTATGCCATATATATATATATATATATATATATATATATATATATATATATATATATATATATATATATATATATATACATCAATATGGCAGAAGCAAAGAGAAAAAACAAAGACATATGTGAAATCATGTGACAAGCGTTCATATCAATCAAAGACTTTATTCAAAGATATACTTTTCAATGCTTGATATACATCAATAAAACTTTGGCTCAAATGGCATAGAAGACATACAATTTCTGATTAACATCTTGTTAGATTTCAGGCTTATAGTCCTGTCTAACCATTTTCCAATGCCATAGAATAGAAGTCATTCTCTTACGGAGACATGCTCTACATGGCCAGAGGCTACGTACCACTACCAATGTGAATCTAAGTCCTTTCACTGATCACATGGTCAAAGGTATTACCTTTGCTATAAAAATAGCGAATAAACTAACACGGGAAAATAACCCGGAATAATAACACTGAAAAGCACATAGCACATATAACACATAACATACAATTGTTCCTATATATTGAACTCACCTGGAATTAACCGGGGGTCAAAATAGTAATTTGGGCAGCGTTTCGGCTTTAAATATGACTTTCTATGTTGAAAACCGGGAGCTTAATTGAAAACCAGGCTCTGCGAAGGTAGGGCTCCAAAACCGAAAAGATAAATTTTTCAGGCTTCTCGGGAGTCTCGAGGCATGTTTCGGGCTTTAAAATTGACACCGGGGCTTCGGGGGATGTCAAAATAGTCAAAATATGGAAAAATGGGCCAAAAATGGCAATTTTCTAAAATTCATCGGCAAGGCTCGCAGGCCTTGTATTTATAGGGAGGAGGTGCGAGGGTTCGGCCGAGAAGGAGTGAGTCAGCAAGGGCAGGTGGCAGCAGGGGGTGAAGGCACGCGACGCGCATGCGAAGGGCCATTTGTGCGAAGCTCGGACGTGACATGGAGCGAGGCGCGTCGGACGGGGATAGGCTTCGGCCTCGGTCCAATCAGAAGACAACACGCGTCGGTCTCGGACTGGACCGCTCTTCGGACGAATCAAAGCACGACACGCAGCAGCTTCGTACTCGGATGGATAAGGGTGACGTGGCCGGTACTGTTCACACGAATATTCTGGGTCTTATCCTTAATTTCTCGAAAATTGCACCCAATTCTTCTAAAATCCGTAACGTTCGCATACGGACTCCGTTTTTGACGTTCTTTATATGCACGCGTAGCTAAAATTATGCTCTACAACTTTCATTTAGACTTCGTCGGCAAATTTTGAACTTAATTTTAATATTATTATTTTTAACAGACCGGGATAGGAAAATCCGTTAAAAATTCATAATTTCTTCATCCGACGTCCGTTTTCGTCAGACTTTTTACCGTTGTACTACTAATGAAGAGACCTTCAATTCTCCTTTAGGTTGTGTCGGCTAAAAATCACTCGATCTAAAATTCGAGTTTTTAGCTGTCTAGTGCTAAGCTGGAACTTAGAAAAATCATAACTTCCTCATACTAAGTCAGATTTTGACGTTCTTTATATCGAACTTCTCGGTTTAACGAATACTACGAATTTCATTTAGATCACTAAGGCTAAAAAGTAGTTTATCAAAAACTCACTTTTTACATCATTCGGCGCCGTGTCGGTTTTGTCGCGAATCTTCGATTGGTCATAACTTCTTCGTTATAACTCGGATTTCGACGAGGTTTTCGCCTAAATGTTTCTAATAAGATTATCTTCAACTTTCAATAATAAAATTTTACTTAATTCAAATTTTATATTTTCACTATATTTCACTATTTGGCTTTTAATTGGAATCTCATACGACTTCCAATATTTTATGAGTGAATATAAACATAGTTTTACTTCATTTCTAGTAAAAACTATCTGTTAGAACTCAACACTCAATTTCTCATAGTATTTCACAATTTTATTTATTACAAAACATGGTTTCAAAACGTTTATGTTACAAATACCTCCTCCTTTTGAGGATTTCATCCCCGAAATTACATCGATTAAAATAAATGGGGATATTTCGATTTTATCTCATTCTTATTTTCCCAAGTATAGTTTGGGCCTCTATGGTGTTTCCACTTGACAAGCACCAATTTTACTTCTTTATTACGTAGCTTAGTTGTTCTTTCATTTACGATCTCTTCAGGCTCTTCAACATATCTTAACTTATTATCCAATTTCACATCGGATAACGGGACTGTCTCATCGTAGATGCTCAAGCACTTGCACAGAGAACTCACATGAAACACCTCATGAATATCTGCCAAATCTTCAGGCAATTCTAAGCGGTATGCTTGCTTTCCAATTCTCTAGATGATTTTGAAAGGACCAACAAATCTAGGACTCAACTTTCCTTTCTTCCCGAATCTCATAAGGCCTTTCCATGGGGATACCTTCATCCTCACAAAATCACCCACTTGGAATTCTATGGGTCGTCTTCTCTTTTCTGTATAGGACTTCTGTCGATCCTGGGCCGCTTTCATTCTTTCTCGTACGATTTGAATCTTGTCAGTAGTGTCTTGAATCATTTCAGGACCTCCAAGGATCTTTTGTCCTACATCACGCCAACATAATGGTGTACGGCATTTGCAACCATATAATGCTTCATATGGTGACATTTTGATTGAAGTGTGGTAACTGTTATTATATGAAAATTCGATAAGAGGCAAGTATTTATCCCAGTTACCACCGAACTCCAAGACACATGCACGAAGCATATCTTCAACTGTTTGGATTGTTCTCTCCATCTGACCGTCTATCTGGGGATGATAAGCTGTGCTGAGGGCAACTCGAAATCCCAATTCACATTGCATACTCGCCCAAAAATGAGAAGTG